CTTCCCCAGACACCCAGGGCCTCAGTCCTCCATAGGAGCAGGGGCCCAGAGCCACTGCCTGTCTCCCATTCACCTCCTGCTGTGTGGCTGTGGTGTGCTTCCTGAGGTCTCTGAGCTTCAGTTCCCTGTGAGGAACTGAGTCGCTCCAGGGCAGCTCTGAGGAAGGACTAGGGGTGCACACAGAGGTCACAGGGGGACAGGCAGTTCAGCAAGATGACACCAAGGTCTCTCCCCGCTGCAGGCTGTGGGACAGAGGAGGCACATGGGGCATCTCAGGGACGTTCCCCGGTGGAAGTCGTGAGCAGCGGATTCCAGGGCACCCAGGAAGGGGGTGGATGGGTTTGCCCTGGTCCCTGAAGGAACTGGTGAAGGACAGAGACGTGCCTCTCACTCTCACTGTCTGGAGGCTGAAGTTCAAGGTCAGGGAACTGCAGGCTTGGAAGCCACCAGGATCCGAAGCGCTTCCTCCAGAGGGAGAAGCACTGGACGGTGGCAGGACGTGGAAGGACGTGGAAGAACGTGGAAGGACGAGCGTCCTGGTCAGGCCCTGATCCCACCACCAGGGAGCTGCCCGTGTGGCCTTTTTTTCTTTTTTCGTACCAGGGATTGAACCCAGGGGGATCTGCCACTGAGCACAGCCCCAGCCATTTAGAATTGTTTTATTCAGACACAGGGTCTCACTCCATTGCTTAGGGCCTCACACTCACCATCCTCCTGCCTCAGCCTCCTGAGCTGCTGGGATCACAGGTGAGCCCTGCGCCGGGCCCCAGCGGGTTAGTCACACAGGACGGGGGCCATCTGCTCTCAATGTGGCCGCTTGCCAACCTGGAGTCCTGTGACAATGATGGCGCCCTGATCCCCAGGGTCTGTGCACGTGCCCGCTCAGGGTCTTCCCAAGATGGCTTATTGGAGACCCTGGGGTGGCCCTACTCTAATGTGACAATGTCCTCACAGGAGGGATTTGGAGAGAACCCATGTGAGGATGGGGGTGAAGGCCAGAGGCCAGCGAAGCCCAGACAGCCAGGGCACACTGTCCTCACCGCCTCAGGAGGGACCGGCCTGCTGACCCCTGGCCTGGACTCCACCTCCAGGTCTGGGGGGCAGCATCTGTCGGTCGCACAGCCTGTGTGCCTTGCTTCGAAGCCCCAGGAAACTCGACCTGCGTCGCGGTGGTCAGACCCTTCGGGGACAGGTGCGTCCGGCTGCTGCACTACAGTCCTGGGAACAGGACACCCGTGGCGAGGCCACCCCACTGGCCTGCCTGGACCACCCTCCTCCCTGGCTGCTCCGTAGAGCTGGTCAGGTGCAACAGGACAGGGGAATAGGCAACCTAGGGTCCTGGCACAGGGTCACCTGGGCACGAGGCTGAGGGGGCAGTGCTGCCCAGTGGAGGGAGCTGGCTGTGGGCGGGAGGCTACTTGGGAGGTGCTCCTGGTGAGGTTGGGGTGGGAGGCTGCAGGCACAGCCCTGGAGGGGGGGCTGGCTGGGGTGGAACTGCAGGGGCTTTGAGGACAAGCACCAGGTGGAGCTGGGCGCACCCCCTCCCCTGCAGGTCCCAGGCGGGTCCCTCACCTTCCTGCCTCGCTTTCTCCCACCTGTCCAGCCTCGCCTGGCCGCTGGGCTGGCCCACAGGACTCTTGGGAATGGCCTGAACCAGGAAGGAAGCAGCCCTGGGCCTGCAGCTGTGCCCCTGAGGCTCCTTCACGCCACAGACGTTTATGCCAAGCACCAGCCACGTGCCAGGTGCCCTCAGATGCTGGGATTCGGGGAGCTCTGCCAGACTCCCGCCCCGTGACGCAGACAGACACAAGCATGGAGTAGGTGGTACAGTCTGAGACTCCAACAACAGGACAGGACAGGCTCACTGGGCGCTGGGGACGCTGTACCTGGAGGGGACAGTGGTCAAGGCCATGTCTTAAAGCAGGTCAGGGAGCCAATGAGGAAGGCAGCTGGGGAAGAGCACGAGGGGCCCAGGGCCCAGCAGGTGCAAAGGCCCTGTGTTGGGACCCTGCTGAGTGGTTCGAGGAGAGCCAGGAGGCTGGAGGCCAGTGGGTGTGGGTGTGGCCCTGGAGCCACAGCAAGGGAAGGGAAGCAGGGGCTTCAGCTGTCGCTGAGACGGGAGCAGCTGGCTTTACCAGCTGCCATCACTGTGGGGTGGGGGACAGGGAGGGCAGGGGCTGCAGGAAAGCAGCCGATGAGGTCCAGGTGATTCTGGAGCCGTGTGGGACATGTCCCATCTCCTTACAATCCGACAGCAGAACTGAGGGATTGGCCCACGGCCGGCGTGGAGGTGAGGGAGGTGGCTCCCCAGTGCTGGCCCACAGTCAGAGGCCTGTAGTCCCCCGAGGTGGGAAGGGGGCTGGCCCTTGGTGGCCACAGCAGACAGAACGGCTAGCCAGGAAGCGGAGGTCGTCCACGGAGTCCAGGACAGCAGAGGCCACGCTGGATTGGGAGCTCCAGCGTTTGGTGATCAGCAGGAAGAGCCTGGAGCAGAGATGGAGGGGCAGCCAGCAGGGGAGCTGGGCCCTGGGTGCTCCTTCGAGAGTAGGTACTGTCAACCAGGGTGCCCAGTAGATCTGGCCATAGGTGCCACTCCTGGCCTGAGTTGGGCAGTTCCAAGGAGCAAGAGACGGCGGGGGCTGCCTGGCAAGGACCCAGAAGGGGAGTGAACTGGAGACTGAGTGTGGCTGGCCCAGTGACCCCCAGGGGATGAGAGCCTCCTCAAGGCAGCCTGGGGCAGAGCGTGGGGACTGTCTGGGGTGACGGGAGGGGATTGTGCAGTGGGTGGGCAGCAGAGCCAACCTGAGCTCATGCGGTGCAGCAGGCTTGCAGTGGACCCTGCCCTGGGGGTGCCCAGCCCCTGCCTCTTGGGTGCCTCTATTCTCGGGGCTCCTGCAGGTGGTTGCTTTGGCATTTGACCCACCCTCTGGGCCACAGCTGCTGACCAGGCATGGCCCCTGACCCCCAGGGCCATTCCGAGGCTTGCCCAGTGCCTGGAGCTTGGACTCGGGGGTCTAACTTCATTTGTCGGATGGCTCCAAGGCCACAAGTAGGTTCCAGGCCAGGGGTGGGGGCCTCTGTACCCTGAGCAATGGGAAGGAGCTGGGCAGCAGTAGCCGGGCAAGAGGAGCCCCGGGCTCCACAATGGCTGAAGCTCCCTGTAACTTTCCCCTCCAGCCCTGGCCCAACAGGGACACCTGCTGCCCCAAGGGCTGGGATGGGGCCAGCTTAGCGGGCAACACCCGGGTTTTTGGCGTCTCCAACGCCCACCTGGCAGTGCCAGGCAAGGACACCAGGACCACAGGGATGGAGTCATCAAGGGAGTTTAATGCGCTGTTCAGAGGGAAGCTACACAGGCACACGACGACAAGCACTGATCTCTACCTCACTACCCACTGGACGGTGCTCCTTGGTCCAAAAAACACTAAGTCTCAAGACAGGGGGGCAGCTACCCCTCCCGGTCCAACCTCTCATGTCCTCACGTGATGGTTTTTAAAAACCCAATCCAACCAAAGGAGGAGAAAAGCAAACCCAGGAAGAGGAGCCCGCACTCATTCACACCGCGGCTGCGGAGCGGGACGGCAGGGTAACCAATATAGAGGGCGCCTCGCGGCTCACTTTGTTCATCAATAAAAGAATATAAAAATCTTGTTCAACCCAGTGTTGAGTGTATTAAAATAGATCTGTATCGTACAGCACAGTTTCTCCCGGAGTCGTGAAAA